GGGGCTAGGAGAACAGGCACAGGATGGGGCCTGGCAGGGGTCCACCCATAGTCCCCTTCGTCCTCCTCCAGCCCGCCCTCCCCGCTCCTAGTACTTACCAGCTCCCTGCTGTAGCGACTGGGGACCATCTGAAGCATCAAAGCTCTCCGAATCATTTCCGAAGATTTGGAGAACTTCGAATCGATTCGGACCCTTTAACTGGTCTCCTGATTCAATTCAGATTTGGAGATTGGCCACCAAATCAGGCCGAATCTCCTTCGAATCGAATCAGCGCCCGAAGCTTTGCAGAGCCCCATCCCAGACTAAGCCAACTGCAGGGAGCCCTGTGATCCTCCTCCCTCTCGTGACCTCCTGTTGAGGATGGTGTGGGGGGTGCACTGTTCTGTGCTGGCTGGCCTCCCTAGCTTCTTCCAAGCCCCATCCCTGGGAGAAGGCAGAAAGCCTTGTAAGAACTAATGCTCCCATTATGGCACAGAAACAAATCATCCCTCTGCCACTTGCCAGGATGCACCTCTTGCCTTTTTATCACATCTGGGGTCGCAGGTTCCAAGTGTAGATCCCAGACTTATGCACACAGGCTGAGTAAACACATTTGTAAACAGCACTTGCAAAGGCAGGCTGCTACCTGTATGCCCCATTACTCAGTCTGCATAGGTGGATGGGCCTCTTGCGACCATTATTCTCTCTGTTCACTGAAGGTGTTTTGCCAGGGCTGAGCTGATGCACACATGGACTCTGTTTCATCAGAACTCCCTGCTGATTTGCAGGCCCTTTATCCCTGCAGCATGAAGAAAGCAAGCTCAGTTGGCCTTCCATGTGCCAAGCCACTTCCTGATACCATTGACATGTCTGGGTTATGACTATCTCTGAGGCTCTGTCCATTCAGTTTTGCATAAGGCTCCAGCATAGCCAAGTGCTAGCTCTACAGCTTGCACCTGTCACTTGTCCTTTGAAACAGGCAATCCTTAAACTTTGATTTCTACCCTTTAGACAGAGGGTAGAGGGTCAAACATCTTCCAAACCCTTGGGATTAAGTTTTGCTTTTCCTCTAATTAGAAAACGTTCAAGTGTTACAATTTGAAATTTGACTCATGCCAACCAGCCCTGCTTACCAGTCTCTATGATGGAGAAAACCTTCCCTTCATTTTAGCTGGGAAAATAAGAATCTGCATTCTAAGTGCACCTGGAAGTTTACCAGCTGGAGGCCCATTTATAAGTGACCCTGAATCACAACAAAGAACGGAGAGGCTGTCTGGCACCAAAATCTCCCTTGCACTCCTGACTGGTAACGGGCAGTTCACCAGATACATGTGGGATAGATCAGGACATCTCTACTTACTGTTTTTTGTGTTTTCTTTCTTCCTTTCTTTTACTTTTTGGGCTTGAGGAGCTAAATAAGAAAAGCTAATTAATGGGAAGATTTCAGCTTCAACTACACACCAAGTCATCAGAGTAATGTTACAGTACAACTGGACTGTAAAATACCGAATGGGGAATTATACATCCTGGGAAGAGTAAGCCTTATGCCATTCAGGCCAATGGATCTGTGCTCATGCATCCCTCTGTGGTGAATAAGGTCTATGGAGCTTTGTGAAAAAGTACATTTCACCATTACCTCCCTCCCTCCCCCGAATCCCACCATCTTTTTTCATTTCTATGGAAAATATGGATTAATATATATATATAAAACATATATACTGTACTGAAGTAGATGGAGTTACACTAGCATAAATCTGGGGTGACACTAGAGTGACTCAGCCCAGGTCTCAGGGAGATGTTCAATGACCTTCCTGTGCCAGGTCTATCAGATGATGGATTTGCTTGGTACTACATGTTTTTTTATAAACTAAACCCTAAGAAATACAGTTTTAGGATTCAGTCCATGCCATAATAGATCTGCCGCTAGACAAAGGCTGCCTCTGTTGCCAAGATCAGCTTTCTGAAGCTGCATGTCCTCCCTACTAAACACTGAAGACCTCAAGCTTTCCACTGACATCTACAATCGGGAGCCTTCTATTGCAGCTGGGATCTGGCCACAAGGCAGCTGGAAACTAACATAAATACCGGCTTGTGTGTTGAACCTTAAGTCCAACAGGCAAACAAGAGTCCAGCCAGCCTGAAAAGCCACTGGACAGTTAGAGTGAGAACTGCATCTGTAGGCAAGGAAGCTCTAACTGTCAAACTAACAATAAAGTAGAACAGAGGGAAGCTTCCATTTACTGACGCTGGACCCTGCCAGGTACCAAGGCCACCAAGGATGTCTGTTTTTGACAGTGCGGTGGTCCCCAAGGGGCAAACAAAAACCCAGGAGCTCTAGAAATGTCTCAACACTGGGCTTCCTAAAGAGATCGCTGACAGAGCCTTTGCTGTAACAGCACAACAGGTTAGTACTGCCAAAGTATTTCCAAATATCCTGGCACATGGGAAGGTAAAAATAGCACTCTAAATTTAAGACTCCTCTGCTGGTCTCTTCAAAGCAATGGGCTCATCCTTTATATGTCTGCCTCTCTAAGGAGGGTTTATCTAAGCCACAATGTACACTCCCTGAGTGGTGCACAGCCTACACTTACATCCAGTGGCAAAAAATTTACTAGTGCAAAGTGGAGGCTCAAGTGCCCTGGCCTCACACAGCATGGAGGGCTGAATGCCACCCTGCTGGGGAAGATGGCACACACTATGCTTGTAAACCCACAGGTGCTGGGTGCAAATGTACACCTCCTCACACCAGCGCTGGAGTGTCTGGGCTCCCTGAGACTCTTCCAGTGTTTCCTGGGGGGCTGCCTGAATAGAATTACCCCACAGTTCTTAGGTGAGCATCAAAGGTTTGTTTTTTTTTACCTGTGTCTCCTCTTCTTTGAAGACAACCTGCAAGAAACAAAGATAGAAACTGAGTGGAGATGTTGCTCAGGTGGAATCAACACACACCACTGCGTTTGTCCAGAGATCCATGCAGTGAAGGCCAGCTCCCTTGGTGGCTAAGAGAGGAACCCCACATGCAGCATGGCAGGCTGATCTCTGCTCCTGATTAGCCAGAGCACCAGTCTTCCCTGCCACACTTAGCACACAGGCAGCTGAGCTCTTGAAAAAATGCCTAGGAGTATTGAGGTGGGAGCAGCTGGGGGCCAAGTGCTTTTGAGAATCTAGCCCTAAGTGTAATAGCTCTCTTGGGGCAGGCATACTCATTCTTCTCCTTGGCTCTATTTTCCCTGCTGTCAACATTGAAGCACTCAGGCCTGCATCAGGAAAATGAGCCATGCAGCCATGTGCTGTCATCCATCTGCTTCAAGTGTTCAAGAGGGCCTGACCTATTCTGTTTTTTTTATTTGGGGCCATCTCATTGCCCCTGAGTTAAATGTGCTTCACATAAGGACTGAGCAGCATTCGAGAAGGAAAAATCCTCCCCAAATGAACCCAAGGGGTGGAGAAGGAGCTAGGCTGTTCTCCTCAGTGCATTGCTCTGGTGGGGCATTTAGGGAACCCACCCCCTGGTCTCATTGCTCCACAGACCCTATGATGGTGTTGGCAATGGCAGAGGGGAAGATTTGCTGTCTTGGCAATATTAGCAATTTCTTTCCTAGGTGGAATCATTTTACGGCGGCAGCCCACATGCCACTTAATCCTCTAGATGTCCAGGCCAATTCTGACCTTGGTGTAAATCCAGAGTATCTCTTTCAAAGCCAATGGGCCTGATTTCCCAGTGCTTTGCCCCAAGCATACTCTTTTACACTATGGCAAGGTGGGTGTTCAAGCCTGCCATTTGGATGGAGTTGTCACTTCCCCCTGCTCTGTACTGGCAGAACTGGCTCTTCCAAGCAGCCCCAGCATCAGGGCTGCAGGGAGACCTCAAGTAGGAGTACAAGACTCGCTCCTTCAAAGTGAAGGGCTTTGGGGGAGCTGCTGTCTTCTCCCCTACTCTGCATCTGTCTCTCAGTCTGCCACCTCCCTCCACAGAGCACCAGGCTCAGCGTTTAGCCTCGTATTATTTGTAGGTTTGTAAAGCTGTTCCATCTTGTGGGTTCAACTAAGTATAAATCCACATGTTTTTGGAGGGAGACCAGTTGTTCTCAGCAAATATTAGTTTAGTGCCTGGGAGGAAATAGTGATATATGTGATACTTATACATGTAACTGTGGTCTTTAAGTGAGAAACAGGCCCAGGAACACAAATCTGGAGCAGCTGCAAGCCAGTCTCCTGGCTGGAAGGTTTCAGGGGGCCCAGGTTCTTACGAGTGGTGTGTCCAGCCCGGCATGGCACGCAGTGTGTAAAGCTGGTCTAGGCTGCCTACTGCCTGTGGCCCCTGCATCAGACTGACTCTACATGCTGGATACAGCAGGGGTGGGGCTGTCTGTGGGCTCCATATTGACCAAACCTGGATCCAGCATGCAGGGCTGGTGCGGCACAGGAAGAACATGGCCTATACTGGCCCCACACCATGTGCAGCCCATGCCAGACAAGCTCTACTTATTGCATACAGCTCACAGGACTGGGGCCAACACCAGGCAGCACTGGGTGCCAGATGATATGACTCCACAGGCCGTATCCAGTCCCTGGGCCATATCTTTGACATCCCTGTTCTACAGTATTACCTCAGGTGCCTTGTCATCCCACTCAGAGCCTCAGTGAGGTCATGTTTTGTTTCTATGGCTGCCTGATTGTGCTGGTTGGGGGAGAAGTGGTTGTGCTGCATTTCTCTGTTTGGGCCCTTCACGTTTTGGCACATACATAGAAAAGGCCTGTGGCTGTGAAGGCATCTGATACAGAGCAGGCGGCAGACAGACAGAACCATGGCAGCTGTGAACTGCCCAGACCTTAATAATGAAGCCTCAGGGGAAAACCTAAAAGTCTAATTATAATCAGCTCTGCTATGTATGCAAGGAGAGCGAGTGGGAGCACATGCTCAGGACATCCCTGCCTCTTGCACTCCTGCACCAGGGCTACACACCCTCGAGCACAGTACCCCTGCAGATACTGGGAGCCTGGCCCAATAAGGCAGGTAAGTGTCCAGCTCCTGTTAAGCTCCTCATGGGAAGTTCAGGTGCCTAACTGCCTTTTTGCAATCTGGTCCTTCCTTCCTGCAAGTGTGGAAGTCTGCAAGACCCCCCGCCTGCCTGTAGCTCTCTTGGCTAGGGACAGAAGTTACACATAAACCGGTTTAAGTGATCAGAAACTGATTTAAACCTGTAACAGAACAGAAGTTCAGTCCACATAAACTGCTTTTAAAATGACCAGAACTGGTTTAAGATAAACCTGGCTGGATGTAGTATCAAACATAACTGATCTAGGTCAAACCAGTTTATAGAACTTCTGTCTCAGATCCCTTCCTGGTTCAAGTTAATTCACAGTCCCCCAGCATCCCAGGATGCTTTGCAGACCTGGGCTATGCTGCCTGCTCCAGTGGGGCAGGGACTGCCTCACCCCTCTGCTCCTTAGCTTGCTTCCTGCCTGTGCCTGTCAACCCACAGAGCATTGGCAACACGTACAGGGCCTGAGATCGGCTGTGCAGCCCTTGGAAGCACCAGCCACGAAACCAGAAGTGCCACCAGAAGTGCACTTCTGGTTTCAATGTGCTGGGGGACGCCCCCACCCTCCCTGGTTGGTGATGGGCCGCTGGGGGAGCACCCCCCCTTTGGTGATCTGGTGCCCCCCCAGACTCGGGAGGCACCAGTCATCTATGCCATATAGACAGAGGGGCAGGAGAACAGACCCCCAGCCCTCCCTAGCCAGGGTCTACACAGCACCTGGGGGGAGGGAAAACCCCTGTAGTATCAGCTTTTTAGACCCTGGCAGCCCTCTCCCCTCCCCACTCCCCCTTTCCCACTGCTGATTGCTTCAGCGGCTGCCACAGGAGAGATGGAGAAGTCCTCCCAGCTGGCTGCCTGCCCACGCAGCCCAGCATGGGGGCACCAGGGAGCCCCCACCATGGGAGGCTTCCCCCCCACCTCAGGCCAGGGTCCCCCAGCCCTGGGCAGCCCGAGGGAGCAGAGGGAATTCTTCCTCTCCCAAATCTTGCCTTAAAACCTTGCCTTAGTCCCTGCTAGTCTCAGGCAGCTTGAGGAAGGGGAGGGAAATTCTGCTCCTCCAGGGCCAGTCTTGCCTTAGTTGCTGTGAGTCTGAGGCAAAACTAATGCAGAGGAGCAGAAGAATTTCCCTCCACTCCTTGGGCTATCCCTGAGACTGTAGCAAATAAGGCAAACAGGTGGGGTTGGGAAGAATTCCCCTCAGCTCTTGGGGCTGCTGAAGAACCCTGGGCTGGGGTGGGGGCAAGTCCTCCAAGGTGGGTGTTCCCTGGTACCCCCATACTGGGCTGCAGTAACCAGGTTAGACTAATGTACAAAGACTGGATCAATTCAGTCTCAGGCTTTCTGAATGTCTGTTCCTAGCCTTAGTGACCTTCTAACCACAGCAGTGCAGCTGTGCTGACCAGCCTGGTGCTTCAATGTGCAGGGGCTGTATGTGGCGCTGGGGGTGAGATGTGCAAGGAGAGTACCTGTTTCGTTTTCGCTTCTTTGAGCTTTTCTTCTTCTTTTTCTTCACAGGTGAGGGGCTGTACGATGGAGACCTGGGGATGGTGACAGCATATTAGTGCAGGGAACACTCACAAGGTGAAGTCGGGGTGTCTACAGGGGAGTACCCTGGCCCATGGCAGCGTGATGCACTGGCTCTTTTCAGCACAGTCAAATCCTTGCTCACCCAGACTAGCTGAAACTCACCCCCACACCCATTGTGAAGCCTCACTGACTTTGCTGCAGTTCCCAACCTGTGCACAGGGAAGCCCAGAAGCAGCAGAGAAAGCTGCAAGTTTGTACTGAGCTGCTTGGGTAGAGCTAAGGCAGGCTGAATTGCAGAGTGCTGCCAGATCTGTTGTAGCAGAGGCCCTTTTGGCTCTGGGTACTTGCACCTCACCCTAGACAGACAGGAGGCACAGACAGGGTACATAAGCACCACTGCTTTGGAGTAACTGAACCCAGATTTTAGTTCATGATAAGAAGTGGACAAATGACTGTTTTTTCCATTCTGGCTACCTGCAGTCTGCACTTTCATGAACTTGCATTGAGCAAACATCTACCCGGGGGTTAAATGGACTAGGCAAGAGGGAACACTACCAGTCCCCCAGTGTAAGTTACACCTTTTCCTGATGGGCAAATTTCCCTATAGGTGGAGCAACTAACACCACTGCAAGGCTGTGTGTCATGTATCCGCTCCTTGTTTACTGCAAAATAAAGGCCTTCACTCCATGGGAAATGTATTCTATGTCTATTCCATGACTTGCTAGTGTCACTTAATACTTAGGCTCCAGCAGTGAGTAGCACAGAGCATAAGCTGGGCAGTGCTGACTGGAAGCTCTGGGGTGAAACGTGATGCTATTTCCAAGGTCACCGAAGCACTTGCCTCCCCCAGGGAACTGTGTTCTCTCTCCCATTATCATAGCTGTGGCTGGGCACATCCAAGCTTCCTCCACTCCCATGATCCCTTTAGCTTCCTCCTGTTCTAGACCTCAACATGAGCCTGTACCTAACACTGCTGCAGCTGGAGTGTCTACGGGGGTAGGGGGAGGTCACACACTGAATCTTGGATGTTAATGCCTGACCTTGCGCTCCAGGGCCCTGCTCCTGGTAGAGCTAAAACTTTGAAGGACAAGGGGGCTGGGTGTGCAGGTTCCAATGCATCAGTTGAACTGAGGCAGGTCAGTGTGCACAGCAGCTGTTTGCACCAGGCTGGGCTCCAGGCATCGGCATTTCCATGGGCATCAGCATTCACAAGCAGCACAAGAAGGGGAAGGCAGGATAATGATTTTCATAGCCCTCTCAGACCTACTTTTATCAGGGACCTCTTGCCCTCTAGTGACTTGCTGTAATGTAACCTGGCCCTGGGTTCCTACCTGGTTTAACTGTGAGATGATGGGAGGGAAAGACATTAAGCAAGCCATTTCAGCGGTGCTACAGCAGCTGACTCAGCTGGGTAGGATTTCCTGGTCAGGTTGCTGGGGCTGTGACAGCTTTGCATTGCTGCCACCTATAGGCCCTGACTTTTCACACATGGATTTTCCCTGAGCCCCAGGTTCTCCCCACATGGGGTGTGTACGGAAGTGCTCTGTGCGTATTTTACAGCGCTGTAATTTAGAGCACTTTTTATCCCACTGTAAAGTTACAGTGCTCTTAAACATGACAGAAGTGCAGTGTTTGATGAGTGCGGGGTACCTCTGAGCCTCCCTGCACTTTCCAGGGTAGGAGGCAGGGGGCACTCCACAGCCTCCTGGGGTGTCTCCACTGGGCAGAAATTTGACTAGCGTACAGAAGTTATCTGAAGTCCTGTAAGTTGCTAAAGTGCTGTAAAATACAGCGCTTCAAATGTAATACCTCAGGGTGCTTGTATACATGATGAAAATTGGCTGTTTTTGTGGTTTAATTGCATCACACTGTATACATGCAGGGTTTTTTATGATTTAAATGAGTTTGCTACGTTGCAAACTAAACCACATCTGCATGTAGTTTAGATTGCAATGTAGCTATTTGTAAGGTTGCAGCCTTTGACAGCTTGCCCCCCCAAAGGGAGAGGCGGACTGAAGGCAGAAGCAGTGAGAGGCCCAATCCTTTATTTTTTTTTCACAGAGCTGCCTCCTGTGGCTGGGGGCAAGCTGCCAGCAGGCTGAGTGGCCCCTGAGCTGTGGAGGACCCTAGTCCTTCCTTCCACGGTGGCAGCATCCCTTGGGACTGCCTGGGCAGGCTGCGCGTGAGCGGGTGCTGCCCCAGCTCAGGCTCAGGGAACACTTGGATTGGGCTGGGTGCTGCCTGAGAGCTGGGGTAGCACTTGCCGGCTAGCCACCTGCCTGGGCGGCCCTGGGGGTGCTGCTGCTGTGGAGGGAAGGTCTGGGGCCCCCTGCAGCTCAGGGCCCACCGGCAGCTCACCCCCTAGCCACGGGAGAGGCAGGCAGGCTTCATGGGAAAAAAAAAAGGAACAGGCCCCCTTGCCACTTCTTGCCACTGGGCCGTGCAGTCCCTGAGCTGCGGGACGGCTGGGTTCTTCCCCCTGTGAAGGCAGTGCCCCCTGGGGCTGCCTGGGTGGGGTGCTAGCTGCATAGGTGCTCCCCAGCTCTCAGGCAGCACCCACTAGATCCAACTCTTCCCCAAGCCCGTGTGAGGAACAGCAACTGGTGGGCCTCCAGCGTGCAGGCTCAGGGAAGAGTTGGATCTGGTAGGTGCTGCCTGCAAGTTGGGACAGCACCCATGCAGCTAGCACCTTGCCTGGGTGGTCCTGGGGGGCACTGCTGCCACAGAGGAAAGGACCATGCCTCCCTGCATCATAGGGGCTACATGGCCCAGTGGCAGCTTACATGGGCAGGTCCCACTGAGGAAAAACAAATAGCAAGGGGCCTGATCCTTTTTTATTTTCTGCAGAGCCTGCCTGTCTCTTCCACAGCTACGGGGCAAACTGCCAGCAGGCCCTGAGCTGTGCAGGGCCCCGGACCTTCCCTCCACAGTGGCAGCACCTCCTGGACAGCACCTGCCCATTAGCAGCCCACCCAGACAGCCCCAGGAGGCACCACTGCCATGAAGGGAAGCACCAAGGCTCCCTGGAGATCAGCGGCAGCTTGACCCACCAGTAGCTTACCCCCCTGGCCACGGGAGAGGTGGGCAGGCACCATAATGGTGATGGAAGCCCCTAAATTGAAACGGTGGGTTTTTAATCATCACAATTAAAAACCTACCATTTCAATTTAGGGGACTAAACCCTCGTCACATCTAGAAGTGGCCTCATTTAACAAGAGTTAATTTAAAGCACTCTAACAATTTTTAAAGTGCTGTAAAGCCATGCACTTCTGCTAAGTCATGGTAATAAAGCACTTTAAATGGTGAAAAATCAACTTCTGTACACACCTATAATTCTGCCCTGGAGCTGCTACTTTCAGGCCGGGGGTGTGAGACACCACCATGTGAATGGTGGTGTCGGTGGTAGAAGAGCCTCCATGGATCAGAAGTGCACCATGAAACTCCAAAGAGAGGGACTGAAGCTCGGGCTGAGGCCCTTAAGGTGTATTCTCTGCCCTTAGCTTTCAGAAACTCTCTTTGGAATATTCCTAGTATAAGCAAAGAGGTCACTGTCATGCTCCCTAACTCCTTCCAACCAGGGGACCCAGGGCAGGACTGCTCCCTGTAGTTTGCTTTATAGTGTTTGGCCTGGACTAGACTGAAGGCTCAAAACACAGACTTCCCCAGATATCCCTATTCCTACCACCTGAGATCTCACTGCCAGGAAGTCCAACATCAGCCTGTTTTTAGTTTCTCTCCATTTTCTTGTTTGACCTCCTGGCACCACACTCACAGTTCTCTTCCTTCTGCAGCACTACTACTCTCTTTCCTGTACAATCACATGCTCTCACCTAGCCTGCAGAAATTCTTCCTTTGACTAGAATCTGAACCGTGTCCAGGCTGTGGTTTCCCTTCTTTCTGCACTTACCTCCTCCTCTTCTTACGCGCAGATTTCTTTTTCTTCTTCTTCCCCCTGGAGGGAGGTGGTGGCATGCACTCCTCATGACCCAGGGAGCTGGAGAGAGAGAAGAAGAAAAAGGACCTTGGGTTGACTAGTGTCAGCCAATGCTGGTTTTGTCAATTCCCTGAATTCCCAGCTAGTCCAGATTGAGGGACATTTCCTGCAGCAGGGCTGTCCATGAAAGATTGGGTTTCATGGCAGATCTATAATGCAGGGTGAATACTTAATTACTGTGTCATGAGTAATTTGGTCATGCTTTAAATTAACTGTCTCCTCTAAGGATTTAATGTAGATATAACGAGATAGCTGCTGTATGTTGCTCATATGCTAGTTGATTATTTAAAACATATTTCTTGCAGTTAACAACTCTAATAGATTTATAAGTTTTGTTACCCTCAGTAAATATGTTTTAAATAATTAATTGGCATTTAATTCGCATACAATAATTATTGCAACTAGATACATCTCTCTAAATTTAATAACAGGGTTAATGTATGTTAAAGAGCAATTGATTATAAAAAATATTTATCGAGGTGTTATGGTAATTTAATGAGATATATATCTCTCACACAGTTGTTAAACCTCAAAAATATGCTCCTATGAATTCATTTTTGAATATTTGGTGCATAAGCATATTGCATTTAAATTAAAAGCAAATACTGTAGTTAAACAAGTGTAGGACTCTTAGTTTAAAATGTGACAGTGATTTGTGGCTATTCTTTAACCAAAGCAAACAGTCTTAAAAAATGGAGGACATGGGCATAGGCTAGGGGATGGAGGAGGTGATGGGGCATCAGGACTCCAGGGTTGTGTTCTTGGCTTTGATCTGGACTTCCCATGATACCTTGAGCAAGTCATAATGTACTGTGTGGAGCAGATCCAAGCCAACACTGAGAGGACTGGAAAATATCACATTGATACAAGCCAGATTTCATTATCTCAGCCTCCCACTGAAGTTAGCAGGAATTGTGGAGTGTCAAAACCTCTGAAAAGCAGCTTCAAAGGTGTCTTTATTTGGGAAGCCTGCAATGGTGGCACCTAAAATTAGTAGATCCCTTTGAAAAGACAGGCTTTGGTGTGTCTTTGCCTTGTGTTCCCCATTTACAAAATGAGAAGACAGGTACTGAAGGGATGGTGTGTGGTTTAGGCCAGGTCTGTAGAGTAATACTAGGGCCTCATAGCTGCAAAGTGATCCTTGGGGGTTGCACATACCCAGCAAAAATGTACTCTGCACCAGTTTCACACAACACCCATGGGAGCAAAATAAACTGCACTGGTAAAAGCAGTTCAGCTGGTAAAATTGTGTCTGCACTGGGACTTCTAGTGGTCCAGCTGTGATAGGCAGAAATTCTCCCTGCCCAAGACAGGTCCAACAGATCAAGCAAATCTTTGTTATTATTCAGAAAGTTCTTGGGGAACTACAGAAACCAGATTAGAATAGAGGAGAGCAGACCTGGAGAAAGGCTACTTGTTATTACCCATGCAACTCTCTATGGCATCAAGATATTTCACCTGACAGGGCTGTGGGTAGGGCTGGCTCATGCTATTTTGCTCTTCTGGGCAAATTACATTTTGCAGCCCCTTCCCCCATTTGCAGAGCTAACTACACTAGCAAATCCAGAACTGCAGATCATTAGGTGGCTCAAGACATGCCTCCCTCATATCTTGCCAGTCAGGCAGCTGCCCAATTGGCCTCTAGCATGGACTGGCCCTGGCTGTGGGAAGGAAGGGCTGACCTGCAGTTGTCACTAACTCCTATTCAGGATTTTCCGTACACTGAAGAGGGCCCAGCACAGACATGGTCTTGTCTAGGGTTTGAATTACTATCAAAATTACACTCCTGTAAAAAGCCAATTGTGTAGTGCTTTTAATACACTTTTTTATTGCCCTACAAAACTAAACTTTATGCTAATGCTTTGGCCATGAACCGTGAATAACTGAACAGCACAGTATTTCTGAAACAGTTGAAAACAGGCTTTATAATCAGGACTCAAGCAGTAAACGTGTAACAAGCAGAACGCCTCTCCCTCCCCTTCCACAGAGCTAGCTGCTCACTAATTTATTTTAACAAGGGGAATGAGCCCCATCAGGGAAGGATTACTGAGAGATTCCTACCAGGATCAAGAGAGCATCAGTCTTATGCTTCCAAAGCAGCCAGAAGGGTCACAACTTTAAAGAGGCTGGTTCTGCCACCCATCTACATGATGTTGAGCCCCCAGCAGGAGGGCAGTTTTGTGGCCAAGGTGCATGCCAGATGTGGGAGATCTCCGTTCAGTTCTTGGCTTTATCTATATGAATGTGGGCAGTCATTTAATTTCTCCAGGCCTCATTTCCCAGGGCTAGTACCACCCTTTCTTTTCTAGTTACATTACAATTTTTTTAGGTCAGGACCTCTCTCTCACCCAGGGTTTGTGATCTTGGGAGCCCTACCAGGCTCTGTTGAATAGATCAGAGAAGTCCAGCATGCTGCAGGGCAAGGTGCTGCTCAGCAGGCATGAGACTGGGCGAGTCTCAGCCTAACCCAACTACAAAGCAAACTATCCAGCACAGGCTCACAGCACTATGACGGAAGAGAAAGGACACAAACTGTCTGATTTCACCCTGCCTGAAGTGATGTTGCCACAGCCCCCCTAGTGCAAGAACCAGCAGACTTACAGCAGGAACCAGCAGACTTACAGCACCCCTTTGAAATGGGGCCGCCACAACAGTAAGGTCTGGCATATACTGACTGTCCCTCAACAGCACTCTCCCCTTCAGAACAGTGAACAGAAGTTGCCATGTCCAATGCGACTGCAAGAACATTCAGCTCCTTTGCTTTTGTGACAAATGCCCTGGGAACTGGGATAAAGCTGGGAACTTGGGTAAAGCTAGGAACAGCAACTGGGAATGGCCAGGCCCTGGCTCTCATAGAGGACTTGGGAGGTGGTGCTGCCAGGTGCACAATGCATTCCATGTCGGGACATCAGCTTTAATGCAGCCTCTGGCAATAAGGTGCTTATTATTTGTTAAGCACAAACACAGGCAGCTGTGTTTATCTTGTAGGGCTTACAGTCCAGCTACACAATATGACACACCTAGGAGGCCCAAAGGCTTGATGTTTTATTGGCACAGTTTAACCATCTTGGGTTCAAAGTAAGTGGAGGGCTTGGAGGAAAAAATGAACAGAGGGTCTTTGAGGTTGCACCCCCTTCCTGATATATTTGATAGCCTGCCTCCCTGCCCTTCATCAGCAGTTGCATAAAACTAAAGCAGTAACACACAGCCTAAGACCAGGGGAGAGATCAAAAGCATCTAAAAAAGGGCCTAGGAACAGGAGCAGAACGTGCATCAACTCCGTGTCATTCTAAGACACATTCTCTGTCACCAGCCTTTCGCAGTACGTTCTCCAGGCACCAAGGTCAGCAGATGGATTCTAGATTCATACCAACATAATAGGGAACAAAATCTGTCCCATTCACTTCAAACCACTAGTGCTTTTGAACATGATTATGGGTCAATGTACTGCTTTTTCCCAGGCTGAGACACCAGCTCTGTACACGATAGTGAACATCAAGTTGTTCCTCTCTTGCTCAACAAAAGGGGGAATGGAGCCTCCTCCTCTGATTAGCATTTAAATATTTCCTCTCTTGCTTTTTCCTCTCAAGTATTCAAATCTCCAGTGGAATATTTGGTAGGAGATCTACTACACTGCTTTTCTGATAGTGGGCTTGATGGGCCTTTTATCTGCGCTAAGGTAAAAAAAGAAAGTCTTTTTGAGGAAGACTGTAATTTTTCTTTAAAATCAGACATCAGTCTCAGTGCAGAGGCACGGGGGCTTTTTGTCAGCCTTGCAAGCTAATTTCCCCCAGGGTGTCCTGCCTGAATTGTGGGATGCTGTGCTCAGACTGGTTCACTTCCCCGTTATATTTTCCCCATTAGTTTGCTCCCCTTTAATCAGTCTATGACAGTTTTCCACAAGCAAAGGCCCACCTGGTGCTTTCTGGGACAGAGTTGTATTTTTGATCGAAAAACTACAGAACAAGACCAAAACTTAACAAGCTTTCCAGGCAGCTCATGGGAGGTCGTTCCAACATACTGTGTTTGCTCTGCCTCCCAAAACAGCTGCCACCCCTGCCAATAGGCAGCACCTTAGAAATGGAAAGCTGCAGGACTGTAAAACAGCCACCGCCCTTACATCTGAACCCTCTGCCACATCTGTAATAACCATGCTGAGCCCAAGCCAGAGAATTTCATCTGGCTCTGCTGTACTCAGCCTAGTACCATGGTCTTCCTCCTGTGAGGTTTATTGTAAAGTTCCAATTGCTTTTCAATGGAAAGAAATCCTCTTTTGCTTCAGGGCACAAGGCAACCCCTGCTTGCCAGGAGACAAGCAACAACTTACTTTGTGACAAGACTTCCTGCAATCACTTCTTCTAGGGCTTCTTGTCTCTCCCTCTGTAGAGTCACGGGGGCAGGGCACGGCTGTTTTCAGAATAGGAGGGGTGAAAGGGAGCAGAGGGGAGCTCGCTCTAGGGTTCCCCAGCAGGCACTGGAGAGTGGGGTGAGTGAATTGGAGCCCCTCTACCTTGTGGGGAGGGGAAGGGGCAATACACCTGCCCCACCATCCAGCAGGGGCTGAAAAACCCCCAGACCAAACTCCCCCTGCTTCCTTTCCCCCCTCCCATTCTGAAAACAGCAACAGGCTGGGAGTCAGCACAGACACAAGTTACAGAAGTCACTGTTTTGAAACGTCTTCATCTGAACTCTCATGCAATGAGGATTCAGATTTTCCCCTGATCAGCCATTTTTGAAGCTATCCGCGGCTGTGCATTTGTGTTTGGTTACAGCTATAGACCACTCTCTGTGGCCAGATCAGGTGAAAATTGTCACTTCTGTCTCTGCCCAGAGACTACATAGAGGAGAAATGCTTCTATTCCCACTGCACAGAAAGCAGGATGAGATGGAGAGACTGTCAAAGATCACCCAAAAGGTCTGTAGCAGGCCATGGAATTGAGTCCCAATCACTTGGATTCCCACTTGTCTTGCCCACCAGACCATCCATCCTCTTGTCTTCTCTGCCTTTCCAAGTATGCTTTACTGATACGTTAAATACTGATTTACTTTAGTAGGTGCTGTGGCTACTCAGTACCTCTGAAAACATGGCTATGCAGTCCTTGGCCCTTTTTGCTGCTTTCTGACAGCTTATTCAGATGACCTTCAGCTCAGGCACCCTGCCCCTCACAGCCCATAGGACAACAGAAGAACAAGCATTTAACCTCCAGCCCTGCCAGCAGATTCATGCAGAGCCTCTCTCAGTTTCTGCCGATAACTTCTTTTGTCTTTAATGCAGAAACTTTCTCCCCGAGCTGGTTGGGCTTTAATTGTTTCCCTTCGATTGTAATCAAAGTCTAATTAAAAATACACTTTAGATTATTGTACTGGTTCGCCTGAAATCTAAAGATATGAAAAGTGTTTTCTTTCTCTTCTAGCTTTAACCAACCAGATAGGCTTTAATCCTGGAGATAATTTAACAGGCAGGGTTCAGAAAGTCTAGGTACTTCATTTATAAACTTTTGATTCATTTTCCTGTGTTCAAGCCTCCAGAGACTAAAGATGAACTGGTAATAAACTGCCCCTCTACCATCACAAGCCCCGCATTGTTGGGCTGTGATTGAGGGGAGGGTGGAAGGGAACGTCTTCTGTTATGGCAATTCTAAACTGCCATCACCACCACCCAACATGGGGCACTGGGATGCCGTGTTCAAACCAGTTTGCAATGGTGGCCAGCCAGGTCATGCTCACAAACAACAGACTGAATACCACTTAAGTACCCATCGCAGGCAGACACTTGAAAACTCAGCCCAGGGAATTCACAGTATGTGGGGACTGCAGTGATGCTAGGAGTTCAGCGAAAGATGCCATTGCTACAAGCAGGAGAATGAAGTGCCCTCCATGCTGAAATGGGGCTAAGTTAATAAACTCACCCACTTAAAAGCAGGTATGAAGCCATCATGACCACACTGGGCTAGTGGCCCAGGGTGGATGCCAAGGGGGAAGCTCAGCCAGACAAATTAATCTAAATTAAACTTGAAAAATGGACTAATTAAACTCTATGAAATCCCTGTGTGGACACACTTACAAGAATTAAAATGGGCTTAGTTCTGAATGAGTGTCCACACAGGGATTTAATGAAGTTTAATTAATCAATTTTAAATTCATACTTTCAGGTAATTTGGATTAACTTCCCTGAGTGCCCCCGAAGACAAGTCCCTTAGACTCCCATGTACAACTGAATGAAGACTGCAAAATATGAGACTCCCTGCAGGGATGGATTGGAGCATTAGGAAGAGAGCTTTGCATACCCTCTCTCACACAAACCGCCCCCTTGTATTTCTGACTGCTTTGAGAGAGGACATCAGGTGCTGGGATCTTACCTGCGTGATCTGTGGTGAGTATTCTCTCTGCGGTCCTTTCCTTTCACACAGCCATTGGTTTTGGAGGCCTCCTGAGCAAGGTTTCCACTTGACTTTTCTGAGTGTCTGTCCTCTGTTGGGTACGACAGGCAGTTTGTTGTCTCGCTGCTGGGGCAACAGATCAGAGATACAAAACGATGCAGGATCATCCTTTCTGGTGGTCACATTCTTTGAATTATTACCATGATCATTATTTCTGTCATAGCAGTGCTTCAAGGCCCCATCTGCAAGCATTGTGCTAGGCAAGACGTAAATGAATAGTGTGCCAGAGAGCTTACAATCTCAAGATATGATGGTGGGGAGGCTTTCCTTCTACAGGTAGTAGCTGAGACCCAACCAGAAGCAATGACTTGCCTAAAGTCTCACAGGAAGAGATGTGAATTGAATGACCTCTGACTTCTAAGCCCAAGCTTAAGACTAACTGCAGGACTGCTGGCCCAGGACAGAATATAAGACCATATATAAAACCTATGCTCTGTCAGACAGGTGACACAAACAACATTGTAGAAAAGATGCTCAGCAGGCTCTGGGCAAATTATTGTTTTGAACATTTTTCTTTGCAATACAGCTCTGGAGCTCAGACTGTTCGGAAAGCCAACAACATAATAGAAGCTTAAGAAGAGAAGGTGGTGGGACGCCACAAAGCAGCACCTTGCAACAGTTCACAGAAGGAAGCAGGAACCACTTCATCCAATAAAAGCAACAAGGGGATTCGTAGGCAAAGAGAACTATTTTCCCATTCTCTTTGGTGTCACAGGAAACATTCACAGTTCAAACTAGACTCAAGAAGACCCTGGTTTGAAGTCTGGCTGTGATGTAACATAGGCACACTTCAATCTAGCTTCACATAAGAGGGGCCACAAACATTTAGAAACCAAGGTGGGAGGCTGCAGCTGATGACAGCTCATTTAACAGGTAAGGTATGACGGAAAGAAAAAGGAAAAGAAAAGGCCAATGATTCTCCAATACTGTAGCTCTAAGGCTACACAGAAGTCTTTGGCTTAACCCCAGTCAATGGGCTGCTGACTTTCAGTCCAATTTCCACTGGCTTCAGACTGTACTAGCCAAACTGCCCTACTGTAAACCAGCCACAATATGCTGCTTTCATTTGCTGAGTGCAGCTGTCATTTTTCTTCCTGGCAGTGCCTCCTCCTCACAGGGCACAAGATGAATAGTTTTCCTACTTCTGAGACTAGCACCTTTGGCAGCGCTAGATAGTAGCTTGGCTGGCACCCCCTTTGTCTTTACCCAGAGCTCTTTTCTGAGACCAGCAATGTAAAAAGCACAGTTTAATGGTACAAACAGGTCCCACAAAGGAAAAGGGACCAGACCTAGGTCAGTTCCAGCAGGGGAGAGACTGCCCTGACTGGGACAGTCCAGCAGTGGATTGTTTTTGGTTTAAATGCCTGCCCTGACTTCATTTAATCTGAAAGCTATGGTTAAATCTGGAAGGAAGAAAACCCTCCTGCCTGGAGAGCTCTTCCTCTCCTGGCTTCTGGTTTTGTGGGGTTGGCAGGCAGACTCAAACCAGAAGCTTTCAAGTGGCTTTGGCTCAGTGGTATAGTAGGATGGCTGGAGCTCCTGGGCGAGGGGAAGGTGGGGAGTTGGTTGAGATCAGTACAGCAATTATACTAAATGCAACCAATAAGACAGGTGCCCTTTGATTTGGTCTTTTATGGCATATCTGCCTTTCCAAGACCAAACCTCCTGCTTCAGAGGCTGATTCTGAGTGTCAACATACATGACAATAAGGAACATATTACCCAAAACCTATCATTGTAATTGGCACTGACCAGCTGACTATCAGCAGGAAGGTTCCTGGAAGCAAAGATGATCTCTCCAAGCGGAGATGAGCCAGTGTGGGGAAGCTTGCTCTGCCACTGCCTCACACTGCCCTTTCAATAATAATTAGAAGAGTTCAGCTGTGGGGCTCTCAGGCCAGTACCTGATCAGTTTGAGAGAAGTCTGATCATTTAATAACATGGGTCTGGGGCTGAGATTTTGTACTGAGACAAGAGGACATTCTCCTGTGTGTAACCAAGTTACACATGGAAAAGTTTGGCCTCAGGCATGTTTGTATGCAAGTTAACCTATTATAAACTAATGCACTGTTCTTTGCTGTCAGCCAAAGGACAATTGTTCTTCTAGACTCAGGAAGGCAGCTGCCTTGGGCAGCATGGTGCCAGTAGAAATCAAGGGCAAGTAGATGACCAAAGTCCATCAGTGGTCACCTTTTTCTTGGACAGTTCCGCATTTCTGATGCCAGTTTAATTAAGCAAGGTGACTGCCACTTGGTCATCAGGTGTTTACAGAAGGGAATGTGGCTTGTCACATTTCTCATAGCTAAGGAAAAAAAGCAGAAGAAAGAGCAAATATTCTGCTGCATCAGTATAAATAGCTCCCTCCTTTCAGCTCCCTAATGAACTCTTTGCATCACAGAATCAGACAAGATATGGTCAGGCAGTTCACAGGGCCTGTCAGCAATTTGGAGCTTACAATTTACATCTGACATAACCATAACTGAATACAGGTCATAACTTTCCCTTCCCACCTTTCCTCACTCGTGCCTTATCTTTGTTTTCCTAACTGCTAGAGGACTTTGATTTGCAGCCTGTCTATATGCTCCTGGATTTATTTTGACCTAATTGGGAATAGGGCTGAACACAGAACATGGCAGCCATTTTAATGACATACTTGCACACGAGCAATGGAAGTGTGGAGGGCACTCAAGAAAGAGGGCTGAGTTCAAGCTACTTTACCACTGCTGCCACAAACTAAGCATCTCAACTCTATTCAGACTTGCTTCTACACAGCCCATCCAACGGGACACACAGTCAACTGTTGTAGCTCTAGGCCAAAAAAGTACAGGTTTTTAAAGTTATCACAATCTAGTTGGAAAATCTTCTGCATTCTAGACACAAAACCAAAACCTAGTCTCTGGCCACCAATGTATTTTAAACTCTTTCCAGGTGTCAACGTTTAGGTAAGACAGAAACTTTGCTGTTGGGTAGAGCCTACAGCAGCAGTAGAGCCCATTTGAAACAGGGGCGAAATCAAGTAAAAATCAGCTAGTTTTTTGTGTCTTGTCACAGACCAAAAAGCTTAGGGAATTTTGTAACTCTGTACAATGCAGCTTCACTTCAAGGAAACTGTGAATGCTGCATGAGTTCGGATGGAAACCATGTGAAACTCAGTGGCTCTAAGTAATGTATAGAGGAGCTCTATGGCATTGTCCCACAAGCCTCATGAACCCACCGTAATTTTCTAATTGACCCCCCAGAGGAGAAAAAGGGGTGGCCTTTTACATGTCCTGTGTCTGCTGAAATAGTGGAACCTAGGGGATTATTCACTCCTTGGCTTCCTTGGAGACCCAAGAAGGGAAGTCAGCTTGGAAGAACTGCTGAATCAGTACCTCCACCCTATACTTGGCTCGGTCTCTTCCCTGCCCAACCCTGCCCCCATCTGCCAGGGGTATGCCATCCAAATGTACTCATGCAGGGGGATTCGGGGAGATGCACGTCTACTCTAGACAGACTGTTTGCCATTGGATTGCACTGGTGGGAGCAAGCAGGCCCCACCATTCATAGCTCTGTACTGTTGATGACAGAGATGGTGCACAGACAAACAGGAAACCACAGTGAAAGGCAGGGAACCACACTGGCTTAAAGTCCATAAGAAACACCAGGGCTTGGAGAGGGCGAGAAGGAGGAGTTTTCCATTTGCCAAATTAAACACTCCAAAGAAAATAAAATGGGTATTCAGGCCCATGGGGTGTTTATTTCAAGGAGCAAAAAGATTAACAGAAAGCTATAAACCATACCTGACAGGGTTGCCATAACCATGGCTGTATTTGTATGACCTGTAGCATTATTTAGATAAATAAAAGAAGCTTATAAACTTTCCCGCTTGATCTGGATGCATGAGACATCCAGATCTCGCTTGATCAGGATGCATGAGACATGACTGTAGGGAAACTGACCCAAAATAAGAGCAGTGACCAGGCTGGTGACCAGGTTCTTATGCACACATGTGGTCAAAATCTTCAGTGCAGTCTGGCTATGAAATACAATTGACTAGGATGCCTGGTTAGGAGCAACACTGAAGGTGTCTTTGGCCACAATCAGCTGCTCTAGGTTGATCGGTAAGGCTGACTGGATCATAGAGCAAGAAACCCCAAACTCTTTGACATACAAATCTCCTATAATAGAGTACTTTGGTCCTGATCCTCAAAGGCTATTGCTTTCCGTTAAAAGATTCTCCTTGCCTTCCATGGGCTTTGCAACAAGCCTTCAAATAGTATCCTATTGAATGCAAACATCTGAACTTCTGAGAGCCAGAAATCTTTATCATTAACTCCAGCCCCACACCCTTTTTGCTGAAGAGGAGGTGAAGAAAAAGAACCTGTCCCTCAGGTTGTGAAGGGGCAAAGGAGCCACTGCCACAGCATCTGCCTCTGCCGTGTCCCTGTATTTCACAAGGACTGGTAGCTGGAAGAGTTGCATTGGCTGAGTTATATAGCCCTGACGTGGAGATTTGCAAGGAAGATGATGGCATATGTGCATGGGCAATGGACTGGAGAATGACTGTCCAATACTGCCAAGTCATTTGTGCCCCTGTGTGTCCCCTGCTCCTATTACAGGAATGTATAGTAAATACTGTGTTGTTTAGGACTCATGCTGGGCCCAAGGTGCTTGAAAGTGATCCTCTTTATTCAGTCAGGCAATTCCAGCTGAATTCACTGAACAAATCATGTGCCCTGAACTGCTTTTCTCTTAGTCTCCCAGCAGCTAACCCACTTACAGGTACAATTCCTAACTGTGCAAATGTGAAGGATGGAAAAAGGAGGTCACGGTCTGCACTTAGGAAACGGCTGTTCCCACCCAAGTCTCATCTGTGGAGCATTCCCCTTCAGCGGAAAGGCAATCCTGTAGTTCAGAGGGCTGGATGTGGGTGGAATGAGAGTCCAGGTTGTGTGAGAGGGGTGAGGGCAGACATACGATAGTTAAGCCCAGCACTTCATTTACCTCCAGAACCTGCTGAGGAAACTGGGGGGGTTGAGGTTTGACTTCTCCAGACAGTACTGTCAACTCTTGCGATATTTTGATGAG